CACACACACACATATATATGAGGAGAGATAGACGAAGACACGTGTATAAATGGTCTGAAGATTCGAGAGAGAGCTCTTTAGAGAACGGCAGATGGTCCTTAACGTAAACTCCTTGGCCGTGCATGTGGGTTTGAGAGTCTTTTCTAAGGAGAGAAATGTAACCGGGGATCGAGAGGTCAGAGGAGGAGATAAACGAGTCGAGGTTGGTCTCCCAGAGAGCCAGTATATCAGGAGACTTTTCAATGAGGAACGATCCCACACTGCAGAAGTTGGTTCAAATGCCACGGATGTTAGTAAAGGTTTAGGTGATTTTTTAGAACTGGTTAGGTTTACTTTTTTGAACTTTTTGTTGTCATGTTGAGTAACGTTGGTAGTGAAAATTAGAAGGCTTGAAGTAGAAGTAGCAGACGGTCATCTTATGAGACAAGGGCAGAAAGGAGCTAGCGCGGCCTGCAACATAGTGGCCTTAGGGTTGCTCATCGGAGGTGCGTGCAGGGAGACACCCTTCCATGAGCGACATGGCACTACAAGACACCCCGATATTATACAACTGTTGATCAGAGCGGCAAGAGTTAGGGCCCCTAGCTACTAGTCGGAAACATCAAACTGAAAACTGTCAACACGGTACCCTCAGAATGAAGAGGCGTTGCCACAGAGTGCGCACATCACAAGAGTCCAGAGAGAAGAAAAGGAAAAGTACCGGGAACCCCTTTCTAAACTAGAAACAAGGGGTTGGCCTCTGCGCTTGGAGTATTGACCGGGCGATAGGAAAGTCTACCTATTCCTATTACATGCGCAAAACACACGCAGAACCTCCCAAAAAAAAAAACAGCTTAGATGTCCAAGAACAACATGCAAGCCATTCAGTGTTAAAATTGAAATATAAAATTTTAATTTAGTTTTGAAACTGAAATATAAAGTTTTAACTTAGTTAAAATCTCAATATGCACTTCTTGGGGACAAAGAGCTCCTCGTCCGTGAGCCTGGGGATTCATATCGTTCACTTTTGCATGAGTCAACGAGAGAAAAAAAAATTAAAGAATTTATCCAAACATTTTGAAAAACAGTGATTACTAAATTAACTTCAATATTAATATTAATAAAGGAAAATAAAATTCATACCGTGGTACGAACAAAGGCAACAGAAGGTAAATAAGAATTTAGTAATAAAATTCAAAGACAAACATACAAAGAAAACTGGAAACGATATCCATGTAATCCGAGTGGCTATTGTGATTTTCTAAGCACAGCTTAGATGTGGTACAAGGCCGAAAGTATAGGGCACCCAGTGAGGATCGAACTCACTACTCAGTTGTAATTGATCTAACAAGACATGCTTTCTAACCATTATACCACGTCGAGGTGCTCAAATAGTAATTTTCCAAGCGTAGCTTAGATGTGACACAAGGCCGAAAGTATGGGACAGCCAGTGAGGATCGAACTCACTATTCAGCCGTAATTGTTCTAGCAAGACAAGCTTGTTAACCATTACACCGCCTCGGCGTGCCCAATGATTTTCTAAGCGCAGCACAAGGCCGAAAGTGTCGGGCACCCAGTGAGGAACGAACTCACTATTCAGTCGTAATAGATTTAGCGCGACAATCTTGCTAACCATTACACCACGTCGAGGTGCCCTATCTGCGTGGCTATTTGGAAGAAAGTAAAGCCAGAATTATGTACGCCTCAACCGTTAGCTCTCAAATCATATCGTTCATTTTGAATGCGTCAACAAGAAAAAAAATTCAATGAATTTATCCAAACTTTTCGACAAACAGGGAGAACTAAATTCACTCCAATAATAATATTAATAAAATAATATGAAAAAACACAACATTTTTAATGGATATTTTATATATATATATATATATATATATA